GATATGACAATCTTAAGGTAGTATGATGCTATGGTTCTTGCTTATAAGCTCTTTGCTTATCTTTCCCTCTTTTCTTAAAAGCTTGTTTGGCTCTTTCACTTTTGAGCTCTTTTCTCATGAAAAACGTCACGAACCAAGATAGCAATTGTGTATGCGATGACAACTTTGTGACACAAAAGATGATACCAAGATATGCACCACGATGATATGGTACGTATGCTTATGGAGAGTATGATCACTAATGTGCACAAGTCACGTTGCCGGCAATACTCAATGGCTAGTCTCGATGGGTAAGCAACGCAAAAGTAAGGCTATGTGGTTATCAATGCAAATGGCATGGAAAGGCAAAGATGTCGTCGAGGTTACTGTCCTTGGCGATGATGAGTCCTTTGCGAAGATGAGCGGTGGTGATGTTGACGTCGGACCGTACCTATATAGCCGAAACATAATAGGACACAGGAACCACAACTCAAATTCTCAAAGACCAAAAGCAACAATGTTGGTAGCAGAAAGTGGTGGTGGTATAGTGGATGATGTGATGAAAACGGTGAAACTCGGAACACTGAAACTGGGATGGGCAGTAGTACCGCTTGTGGGGCGGTAGTACCGCTTGCAGGGGTGGTAATACCGCTTGTGAGGGCGGAAGTACCGCTGGTGTCGGGATTATTCGCAAAATCTGGATTGGGGCGATTTTGGGGCGAAAAAGGGTGATTTTGGGGGCAAAATTGGATGGATTTCATGGATGGAAAGTGGGGAAACTTGGGGAGATGCTAGATCCACTCGAAACCAAGCAAATCCACGGATCAAATCCAACAAAACTTCATCACACCAAGAAATCACAAAAAAAATTGGGGGGCTATTTTTGGTGGGGATTTTCGGATTTAGGACGAAATCAACAAAATCAAGCTAGAAAACAAAGGGTAGGGGCTCCAAAAACGTGATCAACCTGGCTCATGATACCAAGATGATGTAGGGTAGAACCCTAGAGGCCGACCTTTCACGTTTGTAGAGGATCCCAACGAGGAGCACGAAGAACACAAGGAGGGGAACGAGAGAAAAACACGAGAAATCACTCAACCAACAAGAACAAAGTCACACATGTGCTAGATCATCGAAACACAAAGAGAGGTACAAGATCCAAATCCAACAAGAGACGATACAAAGGGTTACCGGTTCTTCTCCGTGAGGAGGTCTTGATGATGGTCTTCTCCGGATGGAGGTCTTGAATCCAGGTGGATCTTCTCCGAAGAGGTGTCGGTCCCTCACGAGGAGTAGATCCGGATGGATAAGCGAGGCTCTATCTCACAAATGAGCTAAATCAACGCTAACCCTAGCTAGGACGAGATTGTGGAGTATATATAGTCTAAGTCCACGAAGGGGTAAGTGAGAAGGGGGATACATGGGCCCTAAGCCCGATCTCTGCGCACAGGCAGGGCGGTAGTACCGCTTGTCGGCGGTAGTGCCGCTTGGACTGGGCGGTAGTACCGGACCCGGGCCGTGCGAACACAGGAATTTGTCGGGTTGAGCGGCAGTGGGGAGCGGTAGTACCGCTTGCAGGCGGTAGTACCGCTCGTTCTGGAGCGGGCAGATCTTCTTCATGCTCTTGCAGGGCCGGTCCTGAGATTTTGGGGGCCCGAGGCGAAACCAAAACTCGGTGGCCCCTTTGCATGAAAACCATAACAATAATACTAATAACCATATCTGCTCTTTAAAAGACTCAGCCAACGACGAGGGCATGTGTGTTATCCCTAAATTTGATCAATCGGTCTGCATCTAATGCATGCGATGTAGGTTATGGTATTGAAAAGAGACCCCACTATGCATCATGTTTGTAGTAAATCCGTTAGTGTGTTCGAACCAGCCCCAACCTTTCCCGACATCATCCAAACAAATAAGAGGAATATACTATGGATGAATCCTAACATATTTGTAGTGATATATATACCGACAGCAGGGTTTTTGTTTCAAGTTTATCAACATGTATCAGTTTACATTAGATTTTTTGCAATGCATGAGTAATTTTCTAGTATATGTATATATACTTTAATCAAATCAAAACGAATATTTATATGAAATAGTTTATACACACAAAATGATATTGAAAATAAATAAAATAGAACATAAGTTGAATATGTGCAAAGAAGTGCTACTTATAATAAACTACTTTCTCCGTTCCTAAATATAAGTTTTTTTAGAGATGCTAATATGAACTAGATACAAAGCAAAATAAGTGAATCTACACTATAAAATACGTCTATATACATTCATATCTAGTCTTTTTGAAATATCTAGAAAGACATATAATTAGGAACGAAAGGAGTAATAGTGAATAACATGGTATACCTTAGGGCATGTACAATGGTGATATTTTAGGAGTGTCACGTAGGATAAATGATGAGGTGGAGGAGGGAGAACTCATAAAAAAAGGTTTGTCTTCTCTTATTTAAGATAAGACAGAAGATGATTTCTTAACATAATTTGTCTCACCTTATTTTAAAGAATGACTAGTTATTAAAGATAAGGCTAAGATATAACCCATTGTAGACATATTTTTTTTTTGCTATCTCTAAATTACATGCAAGACTTAAGATAAGACTGTCTTATCAACCATTGTACATACCCTTAAAGCGGTTGGATCTGCTTCGCTAATGGCCTGATCGGCCGCTCCGCCATGACACGAAGGGGACTGCCATTGGTAACCTGACGTGTCATCATGGTGCGCTCGAAGATGACACGATGTGGATGACATCTCGAGTGGAGACAGGAGGGCGGAGCTCGCCGGCGACTTGCAATCAGATCCCGGGGGTCGGGAAGATTGGATCTTGAAAGAAAGGGAATTAGGAAAGCAAACAGGAGCGCGTTCGAGGCTAGTACGGTTACGATGAGTCGAGGAACTAGCGATTGCGTGCGTGCGCTTGGCGTGCTTACATCTGCATGTCCAGCCCATGTAGTGCTTAGCTCCTTAAAACAAAATAATGCGTAGCTGCGTGTGTGGGCTAGCCTAAGCTAGCAGCGTACGTACCTTGGGTGAGGGCCCATGCAGCTTGGGGGGCCCGGGGGCGGCCGCCCCCTCTGCCCCCCCCCCCCTAGGGCCGGCCCTGTGCTTTTGATGTCCATCTCGCACCGTAGCTTCTTCTAGGCTGGTTCCTTGGTATCTAAGCATACAAAGCATTTTTGTTTGAGGTAGTAGTCTTGTCTCAAGTTGGTCATATGTGATATCACTAAGGAAGGAATTCACCTCGTTCTTGAGAGCTCTAGCTCGTGCCCGTGTCATTGGTCCTCTTGGTTCTTGGTGAGACGATGGTAAGTCCATGGGAATGACCATAGGATGCTCCGCATCAGAGGTTCCCCGCGGCGTTGCCGAAATCCTCATTGAGCCCGACGGTGAGCGTGTTGAGGACGAGGTCATCATCGACCTTGGCGCCGATGTCGTGAAGCTCGTCAGCGAGAGTCTTAAAGCGGCGACAATAGTCGTCGATGGAGGTGTTGTCCTGATGACACCCAAAGAACTCTTGTTGTAGAAAAACACGACGATGGAGCTTGTTGTCGGTGAAGAGCCCGTTCAGCTTGGTCCACACGGCGCAGGCATCATTACCATCTGTCACGACCGTCTGGAAGAGGTCGGGCGTGATGGTGAGAAAAAACCAGCGGATGATTGTGGTGTCGATGGTGGACCAGTCATGAAACTCGGGAACGAGGCTGGATTCGACGGTGTCGTCCACGTGGTCCATGAGATGGTACTCCCGGAACACGAGGGAGAAATATGTTTTCCACGTGTGGTAGGAGGAGTCCGCCTGCGAGAGACGAACCGGCACCCCTCGAGGATGTTGAGCTTGCGGAGCTCGTTGACGTCGGGAGGGTTGGCATCGGCGAACAGGTTGGAGTTGGTGGACGCGGATGACGTGACGGACGACATGACAGCGAGGGTCGGCTCGGGCGGGCGACTGCTGGCTCGGTTGGCTGCTGACGCAAAGCTGACGATGTGCGCGAGCGGCGGCTGGCGAATAGCGTGTGCGGCGGCTGGCGATACGTGTGGGCTGTCAAGCAGGCCGTCTGATAGGAGGCGCGAGCGGGCGGACGATACGCGCGGGTGGCCGAGCGCGCCGGCTGGGAGTTGGCGCGAGCGGGCGGGTCGGCAGGGAGCGGGGCTAGCGAGCGGGAGGGATCGGGACGGGCGGGGCTAGCGGGCGGGAGGGAGCAGGTCGGGGGTAGCAGCGGTGGCGGCACGGAGGAGCGCGGCGGCGGCGGCGAGATGGCGGCCGCGGCTAGCATAAAAACCTAAACCTAAAAACGGATACCATGAAGATGTATGAATTGCATGATGTATTGATTCGGTGCAATGTGCACAGTATATATGAATACAATGTGGGGCCTCTATCTCAATCTATACAACAAACTAGAGAAGTGGGCCTAATGTACAAAAGACAATTTACATGCACAAATAATATCCTCAACAATCATCTTGTGCCTGGAGCTGTGCACCACTTTAGAGGAACAGCTGGCTCGGGACATCGAGATAGGGATGCCGGCCGCGGATGGAAGGAGACGGCCGTTCCTTGCGGGACGTCGTTGGAGATGGTTGTCCGTGCCGCGGGGCGTAGGAGCTCCCGCGTTAGACGGCTTCCGATATCCTTTTCCGTTTTTGAAGTACATATATATACATCCTTTGGGTACAAACCAGCAGACCAGAAACTAAACCCCAAGCCCAGCCCTCTTCCTCCCCCGAAAGAAGTAAAGTAGTAGTTCTCATAAGAGAAAAACGCGGCGACTTCATCTCCATCCTCTCCTCAGCCGCCCTCTGGCCGATTTCATCTTCATCTCCATCTCCGATCGAGGTCACCATCGGAGACCTGAAGGTAGGATCGATTATATCTCCATCTTTCACTCTGCTTTCCTCTGGGATTAATGGGCTTTTCTTTCGCACCAGCGGATTAATTACCACGCGGGAGCCCCCTCGCCGCAATTCTTTCTCCTCCGTCCGGGAATTTTTCTGTCACCAGATGAAGACATGTAAGACGGTGTCCACGTGCACCCCGATGGAGGAGGCTCAAGGCACACATGTGTTTGATATCTTGGGTTACAGCAAGCACAGGGGCATGGGCCACGACAGCGACAGCTATATTCGGTCCGGGTTTTTCACCGTCGGCGGCCACAACTGGGCCATCTCCTTTTTCCCTGATGGTTTCAATGGATATGGCCAAGATTACATCTCGGTTTATCTCGTGCTTGTGAGCCACAGAACTAAAGTTCGGGCATCCTGCGACATGAGGCTGGTGGACCAGTACACCGGATGCTCGTTTTCAGTGCATAACATAGGACCTAGGATTTTCAATCCCGCTGATACTACTAGGGTTGCTCCACAGACTCCCTGTTTCATAAGGCGGGACGAGATCGAGGGATCTGCATACCTTAGGGATGACCGCCTCACGATTGAATGCGTTGTCACTGTCTTCAAGAAGCCACATGTTACCGAAACCAAATCGCTCCCCGTAATCGACATGCCACCAGCTGACATGACTGAGCATGTTGCCAAGCTGCTCGAAGAAAAGAAGGGATTTGATGTCAGTTTCATTGTTGGAGGAGAGACCATTGAAGCGCATAGGTTTGTTCTCGCTATGCGGTCTCCTGTTTTTAAAGCAGAGCTCTATGGGTCAATGCGGGAGGCAACGACGGGGCAGTGCATAACCATCAAGGACATGCAACCTGTTGTTTTCAAGGCCCTGCTCCATTTTATCTATACTGACTCCTTGCCTAGCGACGAGGATACTGAGATGGTCCGGCTTTTACTAGTGGCTGCTGACAGATATGCAATGGATAGACTCAAGTTGGTTTGCCAAAGCATCCTTTGCGAGGATCTGAACAAGGACACCGTGGCAACCACATTGGCTTTAGCTGAACAACATAACTGCCTCCAGCTTAAGGATGCTTGCCTTCAGTTTATCGAATTATCTGGTTTCAAGGATCTCAAGGCGACTTGCCCATCTTTCATAGAGGACGTATTGAAGAAGAGAAGAAAAGTTTCATGAAGCATGAGCAGCTATATTGGTAGATTTGCTAAATTTCTCATACCAATTTGTCGTAGGGATAATCAGCTCAATGTTAGATGGATCCAAGAGTGGTTAGGTTAATTCTCAAGTGATATGAATGGCGTGAAAGTCGCACTAATCAACCTGTCCAAATCTGAACTTCTTATTTATCAGGTTGCTGATTTTACCTGGAGCGTGATTCTACGCTACCTGTAAGACTTGCTCTTAATCTTCTTTCAAAAGTTCCTTCATGTATGCAACCTTTGTTGAGCATTTGATACCCCAGATGGTTTACATTAGCATGCAATGAGATTGAAATAGGACTCCCCTCTCCCTTTCACTTTCTATAAAAGTTCATCTCCTCACAGATTTGTGTGATTGCCCTCTCGCGCGCCACCGGTCCAGCATGGCTCCGGAGGCCCTCAGGTCTTCCCAAGATGCGATGAATTGCAGCTCCTCGGTAGCGTGACTTGTCATCATTGTAAAACAAGAGAAAGAACTGGCAAATTGGCTGGGGTAAGAGATATAATTCTATAATGTGAGTTGGTTGTTGAGGGTTTCTGTTTTATGCAAGACCAATTTATAAGCATCTGCCTTCCCGGGGATAAAAAGGGTGTGGCTTGAAAAAAAATGCAGACATTTTCACTTCTTTAAATGTACAAACTATTTAGTTAGCAAAGTACAAACAACATTATATTAGATGCAAGCTGTAGGTCAGAGAGAGAAACAATTGCTTATTAAATTGGCAAGTCTTGTAGAATGAAGAAGAAATGTTTCTGCAAAATAAAAAATCATTCCACTGAAAAGAAAATGTTCCGGAATCACATTTCTTCTAGACGAAATAGCAAAGGAAATGTAGATATGAGTCGGTCACAAGCCTGATCTGCGTCACCTCACCCCAACTTGTTTAATTCTGCAAGTCCAAGTTGATGGCAGCCTGTCCATTTGAAATTTTGAATGTAACTGAAACATAGTTTTTTTTTATGAGAAACAATGTTATGGAACACACAATTAAGCACAACAGGGCTCTATGCCTTTGCGTCAGGCTTGAGGCATATGGAGTGGCTACTCTTGTGTTCTTTACAGGGAGGTTGGAGAAGGTTGTAGTTTGGATGGAAGTTCAGTAGTATGTATTGGCCATAGCATGTTATTAGAATTTACACTCGTGGTCACATGTAATTAGCGTAAACTGAAACAGTAGCGACGAAGCACTTAGTACTTATTTCGTTTCAACCAAAAGTTTAACTAATGAATATCCAAGTGTAATGTTTTGGCTGTCCTTTGTCTTTTGACGTTTTTTTTTTTGCCTCAAAGTGTATTTAAATTAGCTAGTTAGCATGTTGGGCATTTTATAATTTATACTGCCTGTAGAGCACCTCTACTGGAGAACTGAACTAGAGAATCGAGGCATCAAAACTTGTGCCCGATTAGCATCCATTTCAATGGCCCGATTACGGGAACAGATCATACGAGTGATTAGAAGTTGCATTCAAAATTCAGAGCTAAAACTTCCAAGAGGCCACGTTATAGACATCAGGTAAACTTGAGATACATAATAGTGTCAGAACCCACGAAGGAGGGAAGATGTATTGCAGATGCCAGATTAGAGTCACTGGATACGATCTACCAAGTAGTCTAGTTCTAGCAGTAGCTACGGATAATAATACTTGGAGAAGAAGATGATAACTGGTTCAACGAATGATGGAAGCTATTTACAGGAGGAACTGAAATTACACGCAGTGAAACAGAGTGAACTGTCCCACGCAAACAAAAAAAAGTGTTAACTGAAGCTTCCATCAGTTAAACTTCAGTTAACTGTGCGTTTTCAAAAATAAAACTTCAGTGAACTGTAGCCGTTGTCGGACACTGAACAGGGGAGCCCTTGGTCTTCGAGGGGCGTTGATCTTTTATAGGTGAAGCGCATCCTAGCCGTCCGTCTTTCTGGTAGCTGTCGAATTCTTCAGAGAAGTTGTCGATTTCATCAGGTGTGTTCAGAGACAGGAAGTTCAGAGAACTTGTGTACTGACGCATACTCTGAACAAAATTTGAGTGCTCATTCAGTCTAACTGAAATTAAACTAGTCAAACTTAAGAGGCAAAACCAAAGCATCCACACCCTTATTCTCCACGCCGAATCACTTACCGACGACAAGCATATGTAGCACTGAATCTGTTATATATATTGGTCATAGCATATTACTATGATCATCACTCGTAAGCTTAAACCGGAGCAGTAGCAACTAAACTCTGATTGCTCATTTGGTTAAACTGAAAGTGAATCAGTCAAACACTTGAGGCAAAACAAAAGCGTCAGAAAAGAGCCAAAGATTAATGAATCAGACTGCACGCTGAATGACATCCACAGCAAGTATGAAGTATTATCATCTACTAATGTGAGAGCACTTGACAAGGAAACAAGTCTTACAAGTATATAGTTTCATCATCTACTCAAGTATGTATGCCTTGCCACATTTGGCCACATGCATCACAGAAATCATTCTGTTCTGTCAAAACAGAGCAAAGCCTCGCTCAAACCAGAAAAAAATACGTGGTAAAAGAAAAGAATCAGTAAACAACAAAAGATTATTCTCCACAATAAATCATTTACCGGCGACTAAGTACTGAAAGATACAAAAGAAAAGAGCGACAAGCATATGCAGCACTGAATCTGTTAATGTATTGGCCACAGCATATTTTTATAATTTATTTAGATTGATCTCCACTTGTAAGCTTAAACTGAATCAGTAGCAATGAATCGCCAACGAAGCTCTGAGAACTCGATCATTTTGGTTAAACTGAAGGTGAATCAGTCAAACACTCGATGTGTTGGCAATGTATGAATGTATGATATAGTTGCTCGCATACATGTGCATTTTACCTCATAAAATACTTTTCATGCCATGCTTGTCTTCCTTGTGCCATACAAACACATATCGTGATCCGTTCAGATTGAATAGTCCGGTGGCACCACCATCCTCTTTTCCGCCGATGTCTCCATCGAAGCCGAGGTTGAATCCATGATGAGAGCGGCGAGTTGACATCAGTTCATTACTCTAGGCAAAACAATAACAAAAAATTCCATGAGTGCATGCACACTTTATCCATGATATTGGATGTTTTCATCTAGGTCATTCCTTGGTGTGAGGCTCCTTTACGCATATCAGACCCACTCTGTGTGAGGCTGTGAGCCTCTACGGAGGAACTGAACTTCAGAATCGGGGCAATATCTTAGCTTCCAATGTGATACTGAAAGCAGTCTGCAGAGTGCGACTTCAGAATCGCACCAACCTTAGAAAAAGCAACAAGTCACAGCATTGTTCCGGTTTAAAATTCGCGCCAAACTCCCGGGTTTAGAACTAGAGAAGAATTTGCAAAATTTTGAGCCCTCATTCGGTTTAGCTGAAACTGAATCAGTCGAACATATGAGGAAACAAGAAAATATTACTAACATATCAGTCTATTCTCCCTGCAAAAAAAAAAAAAAAAAAGAATCAGCCTATTCTCGGGTAGGCACACTGCCACAGTAGGATCCAGGTAAAAGGTCTCTTTCATGATTAGCATTGCTGTGCAATTCTGAAATGTAGTTTAGTGATCTAAAACATCTTATATTTGTTTACAGAGGGAGTACATCACTAGTATATGATATTGTTTGCAGCACTTGAGTATTCTGCATAAATATCACAAGATTGCACGTTAAAGTACTTGTTTAAGATAAACCTAGATATTGTCTGAAGAACCCACAAACTAATCACTAGCAATAATGACAAATTAGTATCTAAGGAGGGAAGATTAAAATCAGTGGATACAGTTCATGGAGATGGGATCGACCTCAACTCTAGTTCTAGAATTAGCTACGGATAATACTTGATCAACATGCGGTGAAACAGAGTTAACTGAAGTTTACAGCAATTAAACTTCAGTTAACTGTAGCCGTTGTCGGACACTGAATGGTGGAGCCATCGGTCTTCGAGAGGCATTGATCTTTCATAACTGGAGCGCATCCCAGCCGTCCGTCTCTCTGGCAGGTGGCAGCGTACCGGTTCGCGTATTGATGCTCGTAGCTGTCAATTTCTTCAGAGAAGGTGTCGATTTCTTCAGAGAAAGTGTCGATTTCTTCAGAGAAGGTGTCGATTTCTTCAGAGAAAGTGTCGATTTCTTCAGGTATGTTCTGAGACAGGAAGTTCTGAGAACTAGTGTCCCGACGCATAGTACGGAATTTCTTTGATCACTCATTCGCCTTAACAATTCATCAAACATAAGAGGCAAAACCAAAACATCAGGAAATAACAAAAGATTACTAGAAGGAAACAACCACAGCATATGCACCAAAGACTGGTGTATTATATGTATTGGCCTTGACCATAGCATACTATTATAAGAATTTGCAATGATGATCACTTGTAAAATGTAAGCTTAAGATGAATAATCAGTAGCAAGGAAGCTCACTACTGTTTAGCCTGTTTCGAATGCAGTAGATGATGTAATAGTCCTGGCAACTGATACCTATGTTATGGCTTTATCGCTCTCTGTTTAGCTTCCTTGGCTTCTTTTCTGAACATGATTAGCATGGTGGGATGCATGACTTTGTTACCTTCTGCGTAAGGCTTGGTTTCGTTAATGAAATCGGAGGGAAACCCCCTCTTTTAATCAAAAAAAAAAAGGAAGGAAGCTCACTCATTTGGTTAAACTGAAAGTGAACCAGTCGAACACTTGAGGCAAAACTGAAGAGTTGGAAAAGAACCAAAGATTAACGGATATATAGTTTCATTTATTAATGCCATAGCACTGACAAGGAAACAAGAACAAGTATATAGTTTCATTGACCTACTCAAGTATGTACCTAAACAAGCACAAGCATAGAGGTGTTGATGTTTCATAGCTGGAGCGCATCGTAGCGGTCCGTCTCCCTGGTAGCTGTTGAATTCTTCAGAGAAGGTGTCGATTTCTTGAGGTATGTTCAGAGAACTAGTGTACTGACACATATAGTCCGAACAAAATTTG